CTCAGATGCAGGGACGAGGACCAAGACTCAGATGCAGGGACGGGGACCAAGACTCAGATGCAGGGATGAGGACCAAGACTCAGATGCAGGGACCGGGACCAAGACTCAGATGCAGGGATGAGGACCAAGACTCAGATGCAGGGACCGGGACCAAGACTCAGATGCAGGGACGGGGACCAAGACTCAGATGCAGGGACCGGGACCAAGACTCAGATGCAGGGACGGGGACCAAGACTCAGATGCAGGGATGAGGACCAAGACTCAGATTGCAGGGACGGGGACCAAGACTCAGATGCAGGGATGAGGACAAGACTCAGATGCAGGGACGGGACCAAGACTCAGATGCAGGGATGAGGACCAAGACTCAGATGCAGGGACCGGGACCAAGACTCAGATGCAGGATAGGACCAAGACTCAGATAAGGGACCGGGACCAAGACTCAGATGCAGGGACCGGGACCAAGACTCAGATGCAGGGACGGGGACCAAGACTCAGATGCAGGGACCGGGACCAAGACTCAGATGCAGGGAATGAGGACCAGACTCAGATGCAGGGACGGGGACCAAGACTCATATGCAGGGGACCGGGACCAAGACTCAGATGCAGGGATGAGGACCAAGACTCAGATGCAGGGACCGGGACAAGACTCAGATGCAGGTATGAGGACCAGACTCAGATGCAGGACGGACCAGCTCAGATGCAGGGACCGGGACCAAGCTCAGATGCAGGGACCGGGACCAAGACTCAGATGCAGGGACCGGGACCAAGGCTCAGATGCAGGGATGGGGACCAAGACTCAGATGCAGGGATGGGGACCAAGACTCAGATGCAGGGATGGGGATACACTTTAAGAACCAACTGTGGAGACCAGCAGAGACAGCAGCCGGAGCAGCCGCAGCCTGGGCCCTCTCCCGCCCGCCCGCCCTCCTTCCGCCGCCCTCCACCGGCCCGGGGTCTCTTTCCCCCTTCCTCCTCCGCCTGCCCGCCCGCCCGCGGGGGGGGGGGGGGCCCCCCTCGCCTTCCCGCCCGCCCCTATTGTTCCGCCCCGGCCTCCCGCCCTTCCCCTTCCCGCCCGCGCCCCTTTTCCCCTCAGTCGCCTCGCGCCTGCAGTTCTTGGCTTTCACCCTCCCTCCCCCTCACCAGTGACCAAAGACTTGACCACTCAAAGTCCAGCTCCCCAGAATACTGCTCGACATGGACACCGGTGTGATTGAGGGTGGATTAAACGTCACTCTCACCATCCGGCTACTTACGCATGGGAAGGAAGTTGGCAGTATCATCGGAAAGAAAGGAGAACCAGTTAAGAAGATGCGTGAGGAGAGTGGTGCACGTATCAACATCTCCGAAGGGAATTGTCCTGAGAATTATCACTTTGGCTGGACCCACGAATGCCATCTTCAAAGCCTTCGCTATGATCATTGACAAACTGGAGGAGGACATCAGCAGCTCTATGACCAATAGCACAGCTGCCAGTAGACCCCCAGGCACCCTGCGGCTGGTGGTGCCTGCTAGTCAGTGTGGCTCTCATTGGGAAAGGTGGTTGCAAGATCAAGGAAATAAGAGAGCGTACAGGAGCTCAAGTCCAGGTGGCAGGGGATATGCTCCCCAACTCAACTGAGCGGGCCATCACCATTGCTGGCATTCCGCAATCCATCATTGAGGGTGTGAAACAGATCTGCGTGGTCATGTTGGAGTCCCCCCGAAGGGCGTGACCATCCCAGGCCGGCCCAAGCCGTCCAGTTCACCAGTCATCTTTGCAGGTGGTCAGGCCTATACCATTCAAGGACAGTATGCCATTCCACAGCCAGATTTGACCAAGCTGCACCAGTTGGCAATGCAACAGTCTCATTTTCCCATGACGCATGGCAACACCGGATTCAGTGCAGGTTTGGATGCATCTGCTCAGACTACTTCTCATGAACTCACCATTCCAAACGATCTGATTGGCTGCACAATCGGGCGTCAAGGCGCCAAAATCAATGAGATCCGTCAGATGTCTGGGGCGCAGATCAAAATTGCGAACCCAGTGGAAGGATCCACTGATTGGCAGGTTACCATCACTGGATCTGCTGCCAGCATTAGCCTGACTCAATATCTAATCAATGTCAGGCTTTCTTGGGAGACGGGTCGCATGGGGAACAGCTAGAACAATGCAGATTCATCCATAATCCCTTTCTGCTGTTCACCACCACCCATGATCCATCTGTGTACTTTCTGAACAGTTAGCGATTCCAGGTTTTAAATAGTTTAGAAATTTTCAGTTTCTACACACTTTATCATCCACTCGTGATTTTTTAATTAAAGCGTTTTAATTCCTTTCTCTGTTCAGCTGTTAATGCTGAGATCCATATTTAGTTTTATAAGCTTCTCCCTGTTTTTTTTTTTTTTGTGTGTGTGTGTGTGTTTTTTTTGGCTCATGAATTTTTTTGTTTGTTTGTTTGTCATGGAAATGTAAGAGTGGAATATTAATACATTTCAGTTTAGTTCTGTAATGTCAGGAGTTTTTCAAAAAAATTAAAAGATGGACTGGAAAAAAAAAAGAACCAACTGTGGCACATCTACAGGATGGAATACTACGCTGCTGTAAAAAAGAAGGAACTCTTACCATTTGCAACAGCATGGATGGAACTGGAGAGCGTTATGCTAAGTGAAATAAGCCAGTCAATGAAGGAAAATACCACATGATCTCACTCTTTTCTGGATAATAAAGACCATTATAAACTGATGAACAAAAGTAGATACAGAGGCAGAGCAGCATGGAACAGACCGTCAAACTACAGTGGGAAGGCCGGGGAGGGTTGGGGAGGTGGTAAGAGATCAACCGAAGGACTTGTATGCATGCATAAAAGCATAACCAATGGACACAAGACACTGCGGGGTAGGGGAGGCCGGGGGAAGGTCAAGGGGTGGGGGGTGGGGAAGGAGACATATGTACTACCCTTTGTAATTCTTTAAGCAATAAAACAAAATTAAAAAAAAAAAAGAACCAACTGTGCAAGCACTATGGAGCGGCCGCGTGTGCCCGGCTCCGTCCCCCGACGTGGGAGAGATGGCCCAGCCGCTCCCGAGGGGAAGATAAAGATCAAAAGAAGGGCTGAGGTTCCAGACCTGAATTTACACTGCGAGCACCGTGGAGGGCCTGCGGTGGCTCCGCTTCCGCCCCTGACCCCCCAAAACAGAGATACAGGTACGCAGGCACACGCCCTTCTCCCGTGAGACAGCCACCTGTCCTCGACGTGATGGGGTGAGGAGGTGACCGTACAGGTAGAAACGAGACCAAAAAGAGACCGTTGTTTCCGCCCGGTTTCGAACCGGGGACCTTTCGCGTGTGAGGCGAACGTGATAACCACTACACTACGGAAACCGCTGCTCCCGAGCCCGGCAGACACCTCCCTGAGTCCCCCCGGGCCGGGCGGCGGGCGACGGGCCGCCAAGCTCCGGGGCAGTGAGCTCCCCGCGCCGCCGCCGAGCTGCGCGCAGGTGTCGTGGCCGCAGTTTCTGGCCCCCGCAGGGCCCGCCGCTCCGGGCGGCCTCGGGCAGCCCAGCCACCGGGGTGCGCGGTCTGGGCCGCACCGCTTAGGAGGCACAGGTCCCCCTGGAGCGCCCCCACCCGCATCCCGCACCCCGCAGCGCCGGCACTCACGGGGGTTCCGTACAAGAACAATGGCCCTGTAACTTCCACGCAGTCTTTTTAAAAAATTAAACGACACATTTTATTTTTTAAAAATTAAACGACACATTTTATTTTTTAAAAATTAAACGACACATTTTTAAAAAGCTTCATGAGTCACAGCATTGCTCTCGCACAAATAATCGACGGGACAGAGACGCTAACGGCGACATCTCAGGCAGTGCTACCACCTGGACAGACCTTCTCGACGCCCCAAACCCGTCCCGAGCCCCCGCGCTGCGGCCGGGACCCACGGAAGCAGACCTCGGAGTTTCCGGATCTCGCGGAGCAAGAGTGGCGCGCAGCTGGCGGAGTCGATGGCACTTAGAAAAGTTTTTTCTTTTTCTTTAAGGCAAGACATTCATTGGGTTCGAAATCCAAAAGGTACAGAAGGACACAGATGGAGAAGTACCCCTCCCACCGGCCGCTGGCGCTCGCACAGCACGTCCGCTCCGGGTGCTCTTCGGCGGCAGCGGGGAGCGGCCTCTTAGCACCTCGCCGGGCGCCACGCAGCACGACGTGGGCTCTGGCTGCACAGGGCAAAACCCTCTGAGAGGCTCCGTCATGCTCATTTCATGCGAGTGGACACGGGACTATGAAAACATGGAGCACATGTCACACTTCCCGCCTCCCCCTCACAGCGGGCAGCGCCCTGCACACTGCGGGGCGCCTCGCCTTTCGCCGTCGGTGCGTCTGGAAGGGCCTCCTCCCGCCCGCGCCCCACCCCTCCCGCGGCGCGCACCCCGCACACTCTAAGGGCCCTCACCAGACCAGACTTGCAGGCAGGGGAGCCGGGGCGCCGGGCTCGCCCCTGAACACGCCGCGAGGCCCCCTTTTCCTTGACTCTGCAGAGAGCTGGCAGCGCCCCGCCTCGGTCACCTATTTCCCATAACTTTGCTAGAAGCCGGAGCAGAGCACTTGTTGCTTCTCCTGACCGAGCCCTTCCTTGTCTCACTGTCCCCAGCTTTCACAAACGTCCTCTTTCTCTCAAAACAGAAAAAGCAGCTTGGAGAGCCCGCCTTTTTACAGTCCGAGCGTCCCCCATGCGCATGTGCATGAACGACTTGCCACTCTGTCCCTGAACGGCCGTGCAGTCAGGAACGTGCCTCTGATATTAAATGCGAAGCGACCGGGCGGCCGTTCTATCACGGGTGCGGGGATGCCGCCCGAGTGCGAGGCGGGGAGAGTCTCCGGCCCCACCCACCGCGCGTCCTCAGACCCCGCCCCGGGGCGGTCGCCGAGGGGCGCTCGAGTCCTCACACGCCGGAGTCCTCGGCCTAGAAGGGCCGGAAGTTGTGTAGACGCTCCCCGGGCCCGCCCCTCTGCTTCCGGCAGCAGCTGTGAGGCGTGCTGGCTGCAATCGTTGGTGCCCGGCCGGTAGGATGGCGCCGGGCCGACGCGGTCACAGCACCGACAGCGGACGGCCACGCAGGATTGCATTGTCTCCCGACATTTCTCCTCAGGGGCGGGGGCTGGGAGTGGCCGGTCTTTCTGCTTCGTCTGCGTTGCTCCCGCCCCCGCACCACCGAGATGCGGGCCTCCGTCGTCCTAGCCCTGCCGCCCTCTTCCCGAGTGGATGCTAGAGCGTCTCCTCGTCGCTTCCTGTCGCCCGCGCCGGGGCGGGAAGGGGGCGTTGCGCGATCGCGGAAGGAACTCGCTCGCTGGGTGGCTTGTAGGTACCGGAAGTGTTGGGAGGGAGAACGGAAGTGAGGGGGCGGAGCCAGGAAGTGAGGCGGGGCGGGGGTTTATGAGGAGGCCCGGAGAGCGTTGGGGGCAGATTTGCACTCAGGGCCACCTGAGGGGCTGGGCGTCAGCGCTCCCCTGTGTTCTCTCCCGTGGCGGAGACACGCTTGTCGTCTGGGCGAAGGGACCTGTGTGGAGGGTGGGTTGTCGGGAGGACAGTTCTCTACCTGCGCCTGAGGCGAGGTGTGGAGAGGCAGGGCTGGGGGTGGGGCCGGGTCGTCAGGGCGTCTGAGAGGGAAGACCCCCCGGCCCCCTACCTTTTACCCTGGCTGAGTGGACACTAAGATGGCTGCCGTTGCCATGGCACCCAACCCCGTGCAGACCCTGCAGGAGGAGGCGGTGTGCGCCATCTGCCTGGATTACTTCACGGACCCCGTGTCCATCGGCTGCGGGCACAACTTCTGCCGCGTGTGTGTGACCCAGCTGTGGGGAGGGGAGGATGAGGAGGACCGGGACGAGTTAGACCGGGAGGAGGAGGAGGAGAACGGAGGGGACGAGGAGGAAGTGGAGGCTGTGGGGGCCGGCGGGGGCTGGGACACCCCCATGAGGGATGATGACTACGAGGGCGACTTGGAGGAAGAGGTCGAGGAGGAGGAGGAAGGAGTGTTCTGGACCGGGGGCCTGGGCGGGTCCGACTGGGACAACATGGACTACGTGTGGGAGGAGGAGGAGGAGGAGGTCCTGGACTACTACTTGGACATGGAGGAGGACCTGGGGGTGGAGGACGAGGAGGACGAGGAGGAGGTGCTGGAGGAGGAAGAGGAGCTGGACCCCGTCACGTCGCTGCCCCCGGCGCCCCCGCGGCGCTGCTTCACCTGCCCCCAGTGCCGGAAGAGCTTCCCGCGGAGGAGCTTCCGCCCCAACCTGCAGCTGGCCAACATGGTCCAGGTGATCCGCCAGATGCACCCCGCGCCGGGCCGCGGCGGCCGCGGGGGCGAGCAGGGCGTCTGCCCCAAACACCAGGAGGCCCTGAAGCTCTTCTGCGAGGTGGACGAGGAGGCCATCTGCGTGGTGTGCCGGGAGTCCAGGAGCCACAAGCAGCACAGCGTGGTGCCGCTGGAGGAGGTGGTGCAGGAGTACAAGGTGAGCGGAGCCGAAGAGGGGTTCGGCGGGGCGGCGAGGAAGGAAGGAGCTGGGAAGAGGAAAGGTCTCCCCCCCCAGGAATCTCTTCACCGCAAGGTGATTCTCCGCCGTAAACACCGTTGGCACCAGGCTTAGGGGGAAGGAGCCTGTGCACAGACAGCAGACCCAGGGGAGGCCACGGAGGACTGGCTTTCTCAGGAAATTGGGCAAAGCTGGTGATGCCATGTCGCTGGGCTGTGTCTTCTGGGAAAAGCCACTGCTCGTCCACACTTCCAGTGGCCCTCAGTGTAGGAGTGCAGGTGACAGGCCGCTAGGGAGAGAGAGGCTTTTACCTTTCTGAATGTCTCTGAACTTTATTTTCTCCAGGACTAAAAGTTAATATTTACTGAACATACACTGTGCACTCCAGGCCCTATACTAAGCACTTTTCATGGACTGGCTCATTGAAAACTCAAAACAACCCTGTGAGTTTGATATGGTTTCTATTCCCATTTTACAGATCGGGAAACAGTCAGAGAGATTTAAGTAATATACACAGGGCCACACAGCTGCTAGTAAGTGATGGCCTTGGTTATGACCTACTCCCCTGCCCCTACCCCCTTCCCCCCACCCCCGCACCCCGGCCTACCCTGTTAACGAGGTCACTACTATTTGGATATCGGTTTGTTTGACTTTTCTGACATACAGCTTCATCTTGGAGTTTGATTGTATTTTGCTTAATATCTTGCCCCCTACTTTTGGTCCTGACTCTTTTTGGACATCGGTAAAGGCGATTTGGCCGTGGGACAGCCGGCACAGATAGCACTGCTTAGAGGAGGCCTGGGTGTGACCGGGAAGAGGAGCAGGTAGCTTCTATGTGATTGGCACAGAGCTTTCTCGTTTTATGACTTGTGTTTTCATATCTCCTGATTCCTAGGGTAACCTCGTTTAGGTATTATCATTGCCCCGATTTTAGAATAATGAGCCTAGAGCTTCTCAGCTACGTGGTCCAGCTACGACAAACCAATATCCCTGCGTGACAGGTTAACCGTTCCTTCCCCACAGTGATGGTCAAGCCTGGCTGATGGGCCACGTTACTAGTGGAGGTTTTCAGAATAGAATGGACTTTACCACTAGAGATTCTGAATCTGTGATGGGAGAGTATCTTCAGGAAGCCCAGCCTGTGGTGGGACTCACTGCGTTAGTAATGGCACCTGCCTTGTAGGCCGTGCAGTCTTCGGGGAAGTTGCCAGCTCCTTTTGTTCTTCCTTTTTATATCCCCTCAGTTCCTAGTTAATTCTCCCATCAAACAATGTGCAGCCAGCTTTGTTCGCTGGATCCCAGGGTGGAATATCCATGAGCATCCCACCCCTTTTTCACACTCCCCTGGCAGGACTTCTGAAGAGTTTCTGAAACTGGATTTTAATTTGTGTTAACCACGTCTATTGAATTCCACTCCAGTAGGCTCTGCCATGTGGGGAGGTCACATAGACCCAAATAATCTTACAGTAACTGACCAGCAAATGTCAATACATGAGTTTTATTATATAGAACTAATTTGAGTGATTCCCTTTCTAAGTTATAGGCTGTTTTGCAGACAAGGAGTTTGTTTTGTTTAGATACGTACACTGACTAGCACTAGCTTGGCGCTGTGTTGTTTTGTAGAAATATTTCTTTATTGAGTAGGTTGTAATATACAAATGCTGTATAAATAAAGCTCCAGAAAAGTTAAAGGTCCTTGAAGATTTTTTTTACATAGTACTCTATTTGGATTTCTGCTTATGAATTTTTTGTCAACAATTTAGGAAAAATATTAAGTGGAAAATTTAAGCATCATAAATTCTGTATTAATAGAGTTGAAATTATTGACACTACTGGAGAAAAGTGGAAAGTGATATCAAAAGGCAAAATTTTGTGTAGTTTCTGCTGTTTTCATGTTATGGGTCGATTGTAATCTTATTACATAATTTTTGTCTGCAACCACTTACCTGTGCAACTATGGCTTTTTGGCCTGGCTGGCATGGCTCAGTGGTTGAGCATCAACCTGTGAACTAGGAGGTCACAGTTCAATTCCCGGTCAGGGCACATGCCCAGGTTTCGAGCTCTATCCCCAGTGGAGTGTGCAGGAGGCAGCTGATCCATGATTCTCATCATTGATGTTTCTATCTCTGTTTCCCTCTCCCTCTCTGAAATCAATAAAAGTATATTAAAAAAAAAACAAAAAACCAACAAGAACGGCCTTTTGTACCCTGAGTCAGTAACGTCTGTAGTTCAAGGGTCATTGTCAGGTTTTTATTGGCAGCTTAAGGCCTATGTAGGGAATACTAGGTAACATTTACTGACCTGTTGCTATATACCAGACACTGTGCTAAGCATACTACCCAAGGGGTAGGTTCTGTTATTCCCAATTCCCATTTTAAGATGAGGAAACTGGAATCATGGCTTGCTTCAGGACACTTGGCTGCATTTAGGATCAGATTGGAGTCTAGGCTTGAGCTTTTCTGCCCTGTGTTACCCCTCAAGGAAAAGGAGGGATAAATGCAGAAGACATAAAAAAGGAAATAAATAGTTTGGGCTAATCTCACCCATTTTGGTCTCTCTATCAGCACTTTAAAGAAAAAGACTGCTACAAATGATTGGAACACAGAGCTGAAGTGCATGTTTGTTGTGAAGGTTCAGTGTTTAGGAGGAGAGGGCTTTTGTTTTTCATTCAGCAAGTGATTGAGTGGGAGAAAGCAGATGGACCGGGAGAAACAGGAATGAAAGTGGCCACCCTGTCCCTAAGAGCCCCTCTGACCTGGGGAAGGCAGGTACACTTGTAATGATTACAGTGCCTGGGAAGTATTACCATCCAGAAAAAGACGAGAGATGGCCCAAACTAAGAGACTGCAGAAGGGTAGGTACAGGAGGGGAGGCTAGAAATGCAGGGGCAGTTAGAGCCTCATATTTTGCAAGTGGTGGTGAACAACTGATGGATTTTTGTCACGTGAAAATAATCAGAAAAGTACTTAGAGATGAAAGTTATGAGGAAGATTGCTTATGAGGGGACAGGACCACAGGCAGGAACATTCATATGGGCGGACTTTGTGTGGTGAGGTGCTCAACCAGGCACACTCCACCTGCGAGTGGGGCTCTCCAGTCAGGATCCTACCTTTAGGAAACGCACCCAGGGCTGTGGACATGAGTGCAGGTGGAGGGTTGGAGCCTTTGCCATCATCGGAAGAGAAGGAAGAGGAGGATGGGAGTATGATGCTCATTTGGTAACTGTGATGGGGATCAGGCTTTGAGGCCCAACCCACTGCAGGGAGGATGGGGAAGAGCAGATGCTTCTCCCCGCCCAGGCCATTAGCCTTCCTCTTGCTGTTCCCTCAGGCCAAACTGCAGGGGCATGTGGAACCTCTAAGGAAGCACCTGGAGGCTGTGCAGAAGATGAAAGCCAAGGAGGAGAGGCGGGTGACAGAGCTGAAGGTGGGTGAATGTCCTTAGGGCCGACTGGCTCTGTGGTCAGGGCAGGGAGGATGGCTGCCCACTGGCACAAGTGGTGACTAGATCTGAAGAGGGGCAGCCAAGCCTGGGGGAGGGGTAGACGCCCTCAGCGTCCTGAGGAGAGAGGGGCCTTAGAGGGTGAGGAGGTATATACATTCCCAGATTCCAAAATGGGGAGAGAAGCCTGGCTTGGAGAGATTGGGTGTCCGGCTCAAGGCCACAGAGCAGGCTTACCACTCTGGACATTTAACTCCAGAGCCATTGTCCCACCACGCTGTGCCCAGCACACTGGATAGCAGAGGGCAGAAGGAGGCAAGTCAAAATGCATAAAGCAGCCGTCAGAAGCCCCAGATCCCAGAATAGATGGCAGGGAGTGGGCAGAGCAGCCCTGAGCATGAGAGGGGGCCAATGGAGGGGATGAATTTGTGAATGTTAGGATTGCAGAACCCAACATCCTCTGGTCCAGTTTCTCAGCCTTTTTTCATCATTTCTCACCTCTCCCCAAGGAGTATTTTAGATATTTCCCCCCCGAATCCCACCCCTCAGGCACTGGAATGGCCTGATGCTGAGCTTCAGATACCAAGTCTGGGACATCCCTCCTGTCGGACCTCCAACCCCATCCATCTCTTCTGTGCCTGCCACCCTGGCCGGTGCGGGGCCTGTCTGTGCTTGTTGCCACCTACACTTTAGGGACTCCGCTGTTGGTGGCTGCCTTGCACTGAGTGGTGGAATCTGGGTCTGGGAGTTGGTCTTGCCTCCAGCTTCTTGCTCAAATGGAGACTTGGCTCCTGGTGTGCAGAGAAGGTGTAAGAATCTGAGTGTCACTGGACAGAGAAACTAACTGTTCACTTCACCCACTTGGCCAGTCAGGACTTTCCTCCCCGTTCTGGCCTGTCACTCTTGGTCCCAGGAATATCTCCAGCTGATGATACATGGGCAAAAAGCCTGTCTACCATCTGGGATTGCCCAGCTCAGGTTAATGGGGTGGGAGTGGACAGACATTTTCCCTTATTATAATAGAAGTACCTACATATTAATATCCTTGATTTTGCCTCGTCTTTAAAGTATAAAATATTATCTGGCCCTTTACAGAAAGTTTGCCTATTTCTGATCTAAAATTGAGTAAATTTCCGAAGGTCACTAGTGATATATCCAGGACCCTAACTTCCTATCTTGATTCCTGAATTTTTAATTTATTCATTTCAGAAGTTCTTACCAAGCACCCATTCCATGGCTGGCACTATGCCAGGGTCCAAGGATCCTGTAGCAAACAGTTTACAGTGTAGTGAGGGAAAAGGATGTTAAAGGGTACTCCAATGTAAACATAACGTTTCTAATTGAGAGACATGCTATACTGATATTTAAGGGGGTAGTCCTGCTGTAGATATGGAGGGGAGGGAAGGCTTCTCTTAGGGAATAGTAAAACTTAGACCTAAAATGAGTCAAGTTAGGTAGCTAAGGTAGAAGTATTGCAGGCAGAGGCGGGTGAGTTTTGGGCCAGGGTGCTGGGAGTGATGCCTGGTAAGGCTGGGCGTGGGAAAGGGGACAGATGCCTCTTTCCAGTTGGGATGTAGGGCCTTTGCCTTGGATTGAGGGGCAGCAGTTGCCAAATTGGAGGTTTATGTTTCTGTGTGTTGAGGTGGTATCCACCATCTCCTTTGCATCATCCCAGAGCCAGATGAAGTCAGAGCTGGCAGCTGTGGCCTCCGAGTTTGGACGGCTGACAAGGTTTCTGGCTGAAGAGCAGGCCGGGCTGGAGCGGCGCCTTCGAGAGATGCACGAAGCCCAGCTGGGCCGGGCGGGAGCAGCGGCCAGTCTCCTGGCTGAGCAGGCTGCCCAGCTGAGCCGCCTGCTGAACGAAGCCCAGGAACGGAGCCAGCAGGGGGGCCTGCGGCTGCTCAAGGTGAGCGGGGTCCACTTCCCTGTCTGCTCCCCAGCACCCTGTTTAACACCTGTCCATAGCAGCCTTTTCTTACTGGGATGAATCCACAGGGATTTCTCCTGAAGACCCAAAGGTCTTGAGGCTGAAGACAGGAGTTACTGTAAAATGTGGTGTGTGTGTGATTATACCTTATGAAAATAAAGGAGGTTCAGTTGGAGGAGGAGGGTTTTAAATGAGTGTTGAGGAAAGAGTTTCATACTGTGAAGACGAGTTTACTGAGGTTGAACACTCTATGCCTAGGCTCAGCAGGGTGAGATGAGTTAGGTGTGCTGAGGCACAGGATGACTGAGATGGGTGCGTGGTTAGTGAAGGCCTTGAAGTGCTTTTTCTCGCTCCCTGTTTATGTCAGTCTTTACGGCTGGAATCAAGCAGGGAGAAGTGGCCACCCCTGCACAGCTGATTCTCTCTCTTTCTCCCTCTCCTTCTTTGTGTTTCTTATTCCCAGGACATCAAGGAGACTTTCAATAGGTGTGTTCTCACCCTATCCTTTGTGACCTAGTGGCACCTGGTTCCCCATCCCTGCCTCTTTGGCTATCCTGCCCCTTTCCTCCTCTCCTTCCCCTGGGAATATCATGGTCCCACCCCCTGCCTGGTCCCCTTCCTCCAGGTGTGAAGAGATACAGCTGCAGCCCCCAGAGATCTGGTCCCCTGACCCGTGTCAACCCCATAGCCATGACTTCCTGACAGACGCCATCGTGAGGAAAATGAGCCGGATGTTCTGTCAGGCTGCTCGAGGTAGGGAGGTCACCTGTGCGACCTTCCTTTGCCTTCACCTTCACAGACCTGAGATTAGGTTCTGGAGGGAAGATTGGGGGCTGAGATGGAGCAGGCTACAGGTAGGCCCCCTGGGCTTCAAACCAAGGCTGCTGTCTGAGCTCAGGTAGGTGCTGGGGGGAGGCCGGCAGGAAGAGCCAGGGCCAGAGGGAAGACCTGCCCAGTGTCCTGGAAACAAGAGTAGGAAGAGAACCCATAGGAACCTGATCCTGCCTGTAGGAAGGGGTGGGATCCGAAGGACAGCTGGGGGTCTGGAAGGTGAGTGGGGGAGGGCGTTAGGAAAGGCTGCACCTTGGAGTTGGCTGCTGGTGGGCAACAGTGGGCCCATCCCTGGTGAATTTGTCCTCTTCCCACAAGTGGACCTGACACTGGACCCTGACACGGCTCACCCGGCCCTGATGCTGTCTCCTGATCGCCGGGGGGTCCGCCTGGCAGAACGGCGGCAGGAGGTTGCTGACCATTCCAAGTGCTTCTCGGCCGACTGCTGCGTACTGGGGGCCCAGGGCTTCCGCTCTGGCCGGCACTACTGGGAGGTAGAGGTGGGCGGGCGGCGGGGCTGGGCCGTGGGTGCCGCCCGAGAATCAAGTCGTCATAGGGAGAAGGTGGGCTCCGGGGGTTCCTCTGTGGGCATCGGGGATGCCAGTTCTTCGTCACGCCATCACCACCGCCGCCGCCGCCTCCACCTACCCCCGCAGCCCCTGCTCCAGAGGGAAGTGTGGTGTGTGGGCACCAACGGCAAACGCTACCAGGCACAGAGCTCGACGGAGCAGACCCTGCTGAGCCCAAGTGAGAGACCCCGGCGCTTCGGCGTGTACCTGGACTACGAGGCTGGGCGCCTGGGCTTCTACAACGCAGAGACTCTGGCCCACGTGCACACCTTCTCGGCTGCCTTTCTGGGCGAGCGTGTCTTCCCTTTCTTCCGGGTGTTCTCCAAGGGTACCCGCATCAAGCTGTGCCCTTGATCAGCCTACCACCCGCTGGGGCCCCTCTGGTCAGCACTGGCGGGGCGGGTGGTGGTGGAGGGTGGCCCAAGTTTTGGGGCTAAAGGCTCCCAAAATTTTCTGCATTGTTTCCTGCTCTTCCTTGACCCCGATTTTCCCTGTAGGAGCCTAAGGAACTTTCTGGCCTCCAGCTCTGCCTCACCTGCATGGGTCCCTGATAACAGCTGCCTAGTCTTCCCTTCCTGTCCACCCAGGGACTGAGTTTGAGTAGAGGCGGGGGAATATTTAATTTTAACTTCCCTCTACCCATCCCTTCTCTTCAACCTTCATACCAGTTCCCAGGCTGGAGGATTTGGGCAGGACTCATGACTCTCCCCATTCCAATTCCACTTTCTGATGAAAGTTATAGCTATGGAATTTGGAGGTTTTTTGAGGGGAGGCAGGCTGGGCAAAAGGTAGAGCTGGATAATAACCATCTCCTCTGGGGAAGGAAGGATTCCAAACTTTCTTCTATCCCAATTTCTACCTCCACAGACTGGCCAGAATTTAGTTTCAGTGAGATCCGGAGTGGTTGACATGATCGAAACCACATACCATTATATCCCCCCAGTAAATTATTTTCTCACCCCTTTTCCCAGCAAACCACACCCTACCCTTTTCACTGCCAGACTCCTTTCCCCTTTGTTCAGTGGAGTTTCATGTTTCCATCCTCTCATGTCTTCAGTTTCATTTGTTGAGCTCTGATGGGGAGCAGGGTTTAGGTCCCTAGGAGAGCCTTGGGTATAATCTATTTTTCTAATAACCCTTTGCCTTGTGTCATTTATCAGCTTTTGTCCTGTGCTTTGATGGCCCAGGTCAATTTATGTTCCTGGAGGAAAGGGAAGTGGGTTGTGGAAATAAAAAAAAAAGTTTTATTTGCTTCTTTTGTGAAGTCCATTCCTTTAGATGAGCAGAAGCCAAGGATGTAACTTAGAAGCCATTTCATTTCTTCTACAGCCAGTCCCTCCACTAAATGAGATGGTTGAGCTTTTCCTCTGCCTTGTGCACCTGTCACATCTGGTTAGTGCTTCAAGAGAGTGGGATATAAATCCTACCCTTCCATTTGTATAGCCTACCTCCGTTATTGGCATACTCTTCAGACTACTTGAAGATCATTTGCTGATTGCTATCTCCTACTACTCTGATGCTTTAGGACTATGCTTCCCTAAGAATCTCCACACCCA